CCTGGAGGCTTTCTCACACACACACACCCGGAAATATTAAAATAGTAATAAAGTTAAATAATTATTTTAAAAAATGATCATATCAATTGATGCAGAAAAGGATTCAATAAAATGCAACACCCCTTCATGATTAAGACACTTAGCAAAGGGGCTGGCAGGTGGCATACTGGTTAAAGGCACTTGATTCCCATATGGCTAGACCTGGAGGCTTTCTCACACACACACACCCGGAAATATTAAAATAGTAATAAAGTTAAATAATTATTTTAAAAAATGATCATATCAATTGATGCAGAAAAGGATTCAATAAAATGCAACACCCCTTCATGATTAAGACACTTAGCAAAGGGGCTGGCAGGTGGCATACTGGTTAAAGGCACTTGATTCCCACATGGCTGACCAGGATTCAGCGGCTTGTTCTCTCACTGTCCCTTTCTCTCTTTCTCTGTCTCTGTCTGGTCAAATTAAATAATAATAACGAATGGAATTAAATTTAAAAATAATTTTAAAGACTCTCAGCAAAATAAACTTAGAAGGGACTCCCTCAACACAATAAAAGCCATCTATGAAAAACACATAGCTAACATACTGAATGGGAAAAAGCCAAAAGCTTTTCCACTGAAAACTGGAACATGACAAGGCTGCCTACATTCTCCACTCCTTTTTAACGTAGTGCTGCAAGTTCTCACCAATGCAATTAGACAGGAAAAGAAAGTCAAATAAAAGGCATCCAAATAGAAAAAAAGAAGTGACGTTATCTCTGTTTGCAGATGATATGATGCTATACATAGAAAATCCAAAAGAATCCACACAAAACTCCTGGAAATAATAAATGAATATAGTAAAGTGGCAGGATACAAAATAAACATACAAAAATCTATAGCATTTTTATACCAACAATGGACAAACTGAGACAGAACCAAAGAAAGAAATCCCATTTACAGTAAGATATCTAGGAATAAACCTTACCAAAGATGTCAAAGATCTTGCAAGAAAAACTATAGAACACTAGAAAAAAGAAATTAAAAATGATACAAAAAAGTGGAAACAGGGAACCAGTAGTTAGCGTAATGGCTATGTCGCTGGACTCCCACGTAGTCGACCGCAGTTCGCGTCTCGGACCCGGAGGCTTAAATCTCACGCCGGGCGCGTGTGCGTGCGTGCCCAAGATCCCGAGAGGAGAATGGAGGAGAAGGGATTGCAGCGTGACCATCCCCCCTGGGGGGAGATTTCTCGCTTTCTGTCTCTATGTCTCTGTCTGTCTGGCGAGCGCACGCGCCCTATAGCGAAAAAAAAAAAAAACTCTCAAAAAAAAAAAAAAAGTGGAAACATATCCCATGTTCCTGGATTGGAAGAATTAATATAATCAAGATGTCAATCCTACTGTAAGTAACCTACAGATTTAATGTAAGCCCAATCAAACTACCAGAGATGGAATATCTCTGGTAGTTTTCTTACCTCACAGAATTAGAAAAAAGGCAATCACAAAATTTGTCTGAAAGTATAAAAAGCCCTGTATTGCCAAAACACTACTGTGTAAGGGAATTAAGTAGGAGGCACCTCACTTCCCAACCTCAAAACATATCACAAAGCTCTGATAATTAAAACAGCATGGTATTGGTACAAAAACAGACAGGTAGACTAATGGAACAGAATTGAGAACCCTCAAATGAACCCCAAAACGTATAGCCAACTGATCCCTGACAAAGAGCGTAAGACAATCCAGTAGGAAAAAGAAAATCTCTTTAGTTAATAGTGCTGGACGAACTGGCTGTCCACCTGCAGAAGAATAAAACTGGATCCTTATGTCTGACTACTAAGAAAAACTAACTCAAAACAGATTGAGAATCTGAACATAAAAATCTCAAACTATAAAAATACTGGGGGAAAATACAGGAAAAACTCTTAGAGACCTTGGAGTAGGCAAAAATTTCTTTTATTTTTAAAGAGAAGTATTTTATTCATTTATTTATTTCACATGAGTTTTACCAGAGAAAGAGAGGGAGAGCTAGAAAGCAAGCTATTAGGTCCAGGACTTGAACCACAATAGCCCATGTGGGAATTCTAGCACCTTAACCACCATACCACATGCTGGCCCCAGGCAAAGATTTCTTTTTTTTTTTTTTTAGAGAGGTTTTTGCTATAGGGTGTGTGCACTCGCCAGACAGACAGAGAGACAGAAAGCAAGAAATCACCCCCCCGCAGAGAGGATGGCCACACCACAATCCCTTCTCCTCCATTGTCCTCTTGGGGTCTTAGGCATGCACACACATGCCCGGCGTGAGTTTAAGCCACTAGGTGTGGGACGCAAACCGCGGTCGACCACGTAGGAGTCCAGCGACATAACCATTATGCTAACTGCTGGTCCCCAGGCAACGATTTCTTAAAGAAGACCTCCAAAACACAGGCAATAGTCCCAAAAAATAGACAAATGGGACCATATTCAGCTCAGAAGCTTCTGCACAGCAAAAGAAACAGTAAATAGAGTGAGAAGACAGCCCTCAGAGTGGGAGAACATATTTGCAAGCTATACCTCAGATAAGGAACTGATAACCAGAATATACAGGGAACTCAAGCAGCTTACACACAAAAAATAGTCAAATTAATATATAGGAAAAATGAACTGAACAGGCTAGCTCTGGAGAAAACATACAGACAACTTAAAAGCATATGAAAACATGATTGACATCTCTTATCATAAGGGAAATAGAAATCAAAACCACAATGAGGGGACCAGCAGTTAGCGTAATGGCTATGTCGCTGGATTCCCATGCAGTCGACTGCAGCTCGCGTCCCGGACCGGGTGGCTTAAAACTCACGCTGGGCACGTGTGTGTGTGTGCCCAAGATCCTGAGAGAAGAATGGAGCTTTCTGTCTCTCTGTCTGTCTGGCGAGCACACGCGCCCTATAGCAAAAATCTCTTCAAAAAAAAAAAAAAACCACAATGAGATGCCACTTAACCCAGTCAGAATGGCTAAAATTAAGAAAATATATAATGATAAGTACTGGCAAGATTGTGGTAAAAAGGGAAGTCTCCTACACTGTTGGTGGGAATGCAAACTAGTACAATAACTTTGGAGAACTCTGTGGAGATTTCTCAGAAACCTAGAAATAGAACTGCCATACAACCCAGTAATTCTTTTAGGTAATTTACCCAGAAAATAGAAAAACCCTCAGTCAGAAAAACACTTGCAAGTTTATGTTTATTGCAGCATTATTTACAATCGCTAGGATATGGAATCAACTCAGATGTCCAAAAATAGATGATTGGTTTGGAAAATGTGGCCTGTGTACTCTGGAATACTACTCAGTCATGAAAAACAATGAGACTCTGACATTTGATACAAAGCGGATGAGTATGGAAGACCCAATGCTAAGTGAAGCAAACCAGACTATGAAAGACAGACTTTGTCTCCACTCGGTATATACCAATTGTCTGCACTCTATAGTAGAAACTGGAATTTGGAAGGTATAGAAGCAGGGAGGGCAGCAATAGATACTAGAGAAAGTAAAGGGGGGCGGATAGTCAAGGGAGGGGAATGGGAAGGGGAAAAATACATTTAATTGACAAAATGAAAACCTATTTGCTGATGATAATGTACATAGTAACAATCTTTATCCTGACTGATATGCATGATATTCATGGTAGAAAAGCAATGTTGGGGGACCAGCAGTTGGTGTAATGGCTATGTCACTGGACTCCCATGTAGTCAACTACGGTTTGAGTCCCAGATATGAAGGTTTATAGTCACACGGGGCATGTGTGCATGCGTGCCCAGGATCCTGAGAGGAGAATGGAGAAGGGATTGTGGTATGGCCATCCTCCCTGGGGGATGATTTCTCGCTTTCTGTCTTTCTGTCTCTGGCGAGTGCACACGCCCTATAGCAAAAAGCAAAAACAAAAAAGCAATGTTGTACATTGTAAAGATAAATGTGATCAAAGGTAAAATAAAATGTATGGGCCAGCAGGTGGTATGGTGGTTAAGTCCGCTGGACTCCCACATAGCGGGCCACAGTTTGAGTCCTGGACCTGGTGGCTTGTTTTCTCACTTTCTCTCTCTCCCTCTCTTTCTCCCTCCCTGTCTGGTCAAATTAAAATAAAATAAACAATATTAAATAAGTCTTTAAAAAATATAAAATAAAATAGGTTAAGAAAGTTTATTTAAAGTATATTTTGCTGGGACCAGCAATTGGCGTAGTGGCTATGTCACTGGACTCCTATGTAGTCTACTGTAGTTCGAGTCCTGGACTCAATGGCTTAAACCCACACCAGACGCATGTGTGTGCATGCCCAAGATCCCAAGAGGAGAATGGAGAAGGGATTGTGGTATGGCCATCCCCCCTGGGGGAGTGATGTCTCATTTTCTGTCTCTCTGTCTTTCTGGCAAGTGCATGTGCCCTATAACAAAAACCTCTCAAAAAAAAAAAAAAAAGTAGATTTTGCTTATGTAAATATTTATAAATCAATTTGTTTAAATAGCAAACTTTGATATGTAATATCACATGTAATGTCTAGTAAGATATTACATTGTTCTGGTCCTTTATAAGCTTGGATTATTCCTAGTTTGATGATCTACAAAGTTAGTTTTCAAATAGTACTATTATTGGGGCCAAAAGGTGGTGTGGTGGTTAAGGTGCTGGATACCCAAATACCTGACCAGGGTTTGAGGCCTGTACCTGGCACTTTGCTTTCTTGCTTTCCCTCTCTCATGAGCACATGTGCCCTGTAGCAAATTAAAAATAAGTAAATTAATTAAATTAAATAAATAATTGCTTTTCTTAAAAAAAAAAATAGTACTATTCTTTTGGGCCCTGGGCATTAATAATATTCTTGGGAGAATGATACCTAAGTATATATGCGGTTCTTTTGCTGTCTTAGATAACTCAACCCGTGTAACTATAAGTAGGTATGAAATTGTTCGAATGAATGAAGACAGTTACTTTACCCCAGCACATTGTGCGTTGACAGGTTTTTCTCTTTTTTTTCAATTTTTTTCTAGTGAATTTGGTTCCAAAATCATCTTGCTGAAGCCAATTATCAAAGTGTTGCCAAAACTCTTTGAGTCTCGAGAAAAGGCTGTTCGAGATGAAGCCAAATTAATTGCTGTAGAGATTTACAGATGGATTCGAGATGCCCTGAGACCCCCCTTACAAAATATAAACTCTGTCCAGGTAAGGCACAGAATTCCTGATTGCATAAGGTTAATGTGAGGATACTTCCTTCTTGTCATTGTTGAGATTCTGTTCTTATAAATAATTGTTTTTCATTTTTAATTTGGAGAAAAGTTCATATTTCTGAGCACAGCTAACTTTCTCTGATACTACTTTGTCCTCTCAAGTTGGCTAGTATGTATTCAGTGATTTCAGTATGTAGCAGTATAAAAGATCCCTTTATTCTGTTGGGTGGCAGATGTTACCACAATTCCTTTTCCGGTATCCTCTTGGGATTCTGGGCATGCATGCACATGTAGCCGATATGCTTTTCAAGCCACCGGGTCCAGGCCTCAAACTGTAGTCAGCCACATGGGAGTCTAGCATCTTATTCACCATGCCACCATCTGGCCCCTATCTGGCCTTTTATTACAATTGGTTTTAGAGACCTCTGATGCAAATTATCTGAATTCATGAACTAGTGACAATGTCCTCAAAAGCAGACTTTATTCCTCTTCCTTAGTGCTTAGAATACATCTTCAGTTAGTAAACATAAGTTGGTTTGGCTTGCTTTACAAACTTTGTATAATTTAAATTTATCTTTTGCGATATTTACAGTTGAAAGAACTAGAAGAAGAATGGGTGAAACTACCAACAGGTGCTCCTAAACCAAGCCGGTTTCTGCGTTCCCAGCAAGAACTGGAAGCTAAGTTGGAGCAGCAGCAGTCTGCTGGTGGGGATGCCGAAGGAGGTAAGCCAGTTTTGAACACTGGTTTCTGTGAAACATAGTAAGAAATGGCACTGCCACAGAATCTCTGTTCACTAGATGTATTTTATAGGGCTGCCCTAATCAAACGCAAGTTGGATATGGTATCAGTAAGTCTGATCCTGTGCCCGGCCTGTGTGGTGCAGTTGGTAGCTTACCAGACTGCGGAGCTGCAAACTGTGTGCCCACTGCAGTGGGTCTGAAACATACTGTGTGTACGCACGCATGTCCAGGGTCTGGTCAGCTGGAGTACCAAGGGAGGGGGATTGTAGCAAACAAGAACAACAAAAAACCTCTGGTTCCCTCCATATTACGATTTCATCAGGGATGCAAAAGGACTGATAACTGATGCACTGGACAGACAGAGACAGAGGCAGAAAGTGAGAAATCAACTCCTGGGGGCGCAGGGGAGTAGCCACACCATAATCCTTTCTCCTCTGTTCTCCACTTGGGATTTTGGCCATGCATGCATACATGCCCGGTGTGAGTTTTAAGCTGCCGAGTCTAGGACTTGAACCGTGTTTAACTGCACGAGTCGAGAAACATAACCATTATGCCATCTGCTAGTCTCTGTTCTCTCTCTTGTTTTTTTAAAGGATTATTTTATTTAGCTTTATTTATTTATTTAAATCTGACCAGAGAGGTACAGAGCATGAGGAAGGGGTGGGGGAGTGAGAAAGCAAGCCACCAGGTCCAGGACTCGAACCACAGTTGGCCCTGTGGGAGTCCAGCACCCTTAACCACCGCGCTGCCTACTAGCCCCTATTACCTCTCTTTTTAAGGTTCATTTTGCTTTTCTTTTTGCAGGTGGTGATGATGGTGATGAAGTGCCACAGATAGATGCTTATGAGCTTTTGGAAGCAGTAGAAATCCTTTCCAAACTTCCCAAAGACTTTTATGACAAAATTGTAAGTAATGGTTTAGCCGCTTTACTTATTCTTAAATCATTACTTGAGTAGACTAAGAGAATGCTTTGCTGAGTCCTTGCCTCAGGCACCCCCTTCCACCTCACAGTTTCCCTAGCAGACTGAGTTAGTCACTTCTCCCTCTTTATCCCATACTACTACTTTTTTTCTTTTTTTTGGAGAGGTTTTTGCTATAGGGCGCGTGCGCTCGCCAGACAGGGGGGATGGCCACGCCGCAATCCCTTCTCCTCCATTCTCCTCTCAGGATCTTGGGCACACACACACACGTGCCTGGCGTGAGTTTTAAGCCACCGGGTCCAGGACGCGAACCGCGGTCAACTACATGGGAGTCCATAGCCATTACGCTAACTGCTGGTCCCCCATACTACTACTTCTAATGCCTTGCCAAAACGTTGACCGTTGTTCTTGATTTCCTTTCATTCACTGCCTCTCAACTTCATCCCCTTTCCTCTATCCCCACTGCCACTGCTTTACCTCAGGGTTTCTTGACCTGGGCACTGTTGACATGTTTGCCAGGTAATTCTTTGTGTTGGTGGGGCTCTCCTGTGCGTTGTAGGATGTTGAGATGGTATCCGAAAGCACCCTGAGACCTTCGAGGCCACCCGTGGCACCGTTGAGGCCCGTCCTTATTTTCTAGCCGCATTGCTAATTGCTCTCAGTCTCCATGCTCCAGCCATGCTCCACACAACCAGCAGCAAATCCGCCACTTACTACCTTTCGAAATTCTGGATCTTATGTATGCTGTCCTTTTTCCTCTCCTTAAATTTACTTATTTCTACACATGTACACGTGTGTGCGAGAGACACCCCCAACAGAGTCTTCATGCTGTGATCCATCCCCAGTGTCAGCTGACTTGGGTTATGGGCACATGTCATGGGCACATGTGCATGATTGATGTGCTCAGTGAGGTCCCTGGACACAAACCCAGGACCTTTCTCATGTGGGTCCAGTTGTGTTGCCACTGCACCACATCTGGCCCCACATAAGTTGTTTTTACTGCCTATGACATCATCTCCCCATCATTCACTTAGAAATACCTCTTTATTCTCTGGATCTAGCCTAACCATCCCTCGTTAGGGGAGAGCCTGCCTACTGCCTACACTTTGTTACGTCCTCTTGCTCTGTACTCCTTGTACTTCTCCATTCATGGTGCTTAAGACCTAATAGTCATTATTTTTTTTTAGTTTTAGTTTTTGCTATAGGGTATGTGCATTTGCCAAAGAGACAGAGGAGAGAAAGAGAGAGAGAAATCACCCCTTGGGGGGATGGCCACTTCACAATCCCTTCTCCTCTAGTTTTCTCTCGGGATTTGAGGCAAACACGGGCATGCACCCATGTACTATCCCAGCATGATTTTCAAACCACCGAGTCCAGGACTCAAACCATGCAGTCACCAATGTGGTGTCCAGGCCATGTGGGATCTAGCGCCCTTATTTCTATACTACCTGCTGGCCCAAGATCTAGTAGTTACTTATTGAAGATCTTTCTGTCTCTGCTTTTGGCAGTTTGAGTATCCTGTCAGCTTCTGATTAACAAATAAATATTTGAGGGACCAGTGGATGGCATATTGGTTACATTGCTGGACTCCCATGTAGTAAACCACGATTCAAGTCCTGGACTTGGTGACTTAAAACTCACGCCAGGCACATGTGAGTGCATGCCTCAAATCCCAGGAGGGGAATGGAAGAGAAGGGATTACAGCTTGGCCATTCCTCCCTCCACCCCCAGGGAGTGATGTCTTGCTTTCTATCTCTCTGTCTTTCCCTGTGTCTCTGAGCGCATGTGTCCCTGTAGCAAAAAAATCTCTCTCACACACACACACACAAAAAAAAAACAAAACTTTTTTTTTTTT